AAGAAAAAAAGAAAAAAAATTCGCCAAGTGCAATGGGTGTGCGCCCTGTAAATCCCAGTTACTTGGGAGGCTGAGGCAGGGAGATAGTTGAACCCCAGGGAGCAGAGATTGTAGTGAGCCAGATCGTGCCACTGCACTCCAGCCTGGGTGACAGAGTAAGACTCCTATCTCAAAAAATAAAAAAGTAAAAATAAAAAATGTCAGCATTTTTTAGTTACTTGTCTCCTTCCTAATTTTTAAACGTCCTAAAATCAGGAGCCAGTGTTGATGGTGGAATAATATGATATGGTGTTATGCTTCCAGAATTTTAATGTATAATCTTTGTGTATCTTCAAACTTAAATTTGTTTACACAAGGTTGAAATGTCCTTTCAGTTTCTCGGGCACTGATCATAGAAAGTGTACGTGTTTCAACTAAATGAAATGTCGTTTCCTAACTGTTTTTTTCTTCTTACTACCTTCTGTAAAATCTCAGTTTGACCCACTTAATCTTTTTTTTCCGGCCTTTTTGTTTCTTTTTGAGATGCGAGTTTTATCTTGTTGTCGCGACTGGAGTGCCAATGGGACCAATCTTGGCTCACTGCAACCTCACGCTCCCGGGTTCAAGCCAATTCTCCTGCTCAGCCTCCTGAATAGCTGGGATTACAGGCCGCTCACCACCACCGCCTGGCTAAGTTTGTAGTTTTCAGTAGAGACGGCGTTTCACCATGTTGCGCCGGGGGTCTAAATCCCTGACCTCAGGTGATCCGCCACCTTTAGCCTCCCAAATAGCTGGGATTACGGCATGCCACCCCATGCCTGGCTAATTTTTTGTATTTAGTAGAGTGGGGTTTCACCAGGTTGGCTCAGGCTGGTCTCAAACTCTTGACCTCAGGTAATCCACCCACTTAATCAATGAGAGTTATTTTCCAAGGTGGTTCCAAGGCAAACACATTTTCATGTTTATGGAAAACAAGCATGTCAGTTAACTCAGGTTTGAGACTAATTTTCAATGAAGAAGTGATTTATCTCCAGTCTAAGAAAATTGTGATGTATTTCTTGGGGTTGTGATAGTTCTCCTTCCCATCAGTCCCAGGTGTGCTGTTTGGGCTATCTAGTCATCACAACATTATTCCTTAGTGTATATAAAAGTGCTCTGCTAGCTGCTTGTACAAAGGGTGGTGAGTAAAGGAATTCTTGCGTCAAGGAACTAAAATATTAGATGATGGGAACAATTTGCATGAAGAAGTGTCATACAACATGGCATAAAGTGATAGAGTAGTTCAAAAAAGAACGAAAATTTGCAGAGAGTGCATGCAAGACAAGGAAACAATAAGAAACATGAGCCAAATATGTGCACAGACATGTGTCGGTGTTTTTAGTGGCCTCCCAAATAGCTGGGATTACAGGCATGCACCACCATGCCTGGCTAATTTTTTGTATTTAGTAGAGATGGGGTTTCACCAGGTTGGTCAGGCTGGTCTCAAACTCTTGACCTCAGGTAATCCACCCACTTAATCATGAGAGTTATTTTCCAAGGTGGTTCCAAGGCAAACACATTTTCATGTTTATGGAAAACAAGCATGTCAGTTAACTCAGGTTTGAGACTAATTTCAATGAAGAAGTGATTTATCTCCAGTCTAAGAAAATTGTGATGTATTTCTTGGGGTTGTGATAGTTCTCCTTCCCATAGTCCAGGTGTGCTGTTTGGGCTATCTAGTCATCAAACATTATTTCCTTATTATATAAAAGTGCTCTGCTAGCTGTTGTACAAAGGTGGTGAGTAAAGGGGAATTCTTGCCATCAAGGAACTAAAATATTAGATGATGGGAACAATTTGCATGAAGAAGTGTCATACAACATGGCATAAAGTGATAGAGTAGTTCAAAAAGACAGAAAATTTGACAGAGAGTGGCATGCAAACAAGGAAACAATAGAAACATGAGCAAATTGTGAAATGTGTGGTGTTTTTAGTGGAGGGTCATGGGCAATGTTGCTTTGGTGGGTTGTGTGAGTAATATGTATTCAGGGCCGCAGGAAGAAAACTGTTGCCTCTGGAAACGTGGATTAGAGAGGAAAGGAAGTATTGAAGGCAGGAGGACTGACTTGAATGCTGCTGTCATTACCATAGTCCAAATATAAGATGGTAAATGTAAGATGATCAGTAAAAATGGAAAGAAGTGGGCAGATCTGACCTATATTTCAGAGTAGATTGGACTTGATGGTTGTTAGGTGATAACAGGAGAGTTCAAGATGTTCCTGAAGTCTTAAATAAGTAATGGTTTTATGTGCAATAGGGAACAGAGTAGAGATTGATTGAGCATAAAACGCTCTTACAGACATTTTGCAATCCATCCATGTAGAGACACCAAGAGAGGAGATGGAAATAGGCCCAATGACTCTAGAAATGGTTTGAAGATCAGAAATTATCCTATAATTACATTTGCTCAGGGACAATATTTAGTGTTCAGAAAGAGGGAACATGACTACCTTAAGGTGGCATACATAGCAAGAATAGACACCATCTGCAACTGAGAAATAGAATGCAGAGAACCAGGAACACTTAGTGTCATGGAAGCCATGGGGAGAATCTAGTGTTGTATGGCTTGTCGGAGGCTTCAATAGGATGAGGACCAAGGCAGAGAAGCATTGAATTTGTTGATACTTGAGAGAAGTTTCAGTAGAATCTAAAAGCCAAATTTAGATACAACAAAAATAGCTTATTCCTAACTAGACTGATAGAGTCATACTTTATCGGGAACTGTTTCTTCTTCCTTTTTGTTGTCTTACCCTGCGTAGTTAAAATGTTAACCTGAAATCTATCTATTTCAATTTATTGTCGTTTATTAAGAAAAATTAATGCTTTTTATTTTCTACTTTTGAAAAATTGACTGAACGGATCATTTTATATTTTCTTGAAAAGATCTGTAGCGTGGTCATTGCAGCATTAAGTGTAATAAAGCATAGTGACCCTGAAATGAAAATTTTCCCTGGCCCTTCTGAAGGCTTACACTGACTTGAACAATGAGTAGGGCTGGTAAATTGCATTTATTCACAAATCTAGATTAGATTATTTCAAAGCTCAGAGCCATCACACAGTGTAGCACTGCATTAGTGGCTAGCTTTGCTTCTGGGGACGTGTAGTCATCATTTGATAAGAAGTACGAATCATTTAACCTTTCTTCCACTTCTCTCTCTTTTATAGGTTGGGTAGGAGGCTGTGTCTGGTATCTTGAAAGAAGAACTATACAGGAATCCCCTCACAAGTTCTTACATCTTTTCAGGAATGTCAATAAGCGGTGGATTACATTTCAGCACTTTAGCTTCCTCAAACGTATGGTATGTTTAGAAGACCATTCTTACTCTGTTACTTTCTGCCTTTGTTTTTCTCTGTTGAGGGAATTTCAGAAATTTCTATTTAATAAAAGTTTTAAGAAATACTGTTTGAAAACAACTTTTATTTAGTGTCCTTAAATTTATCCAAATCTCTTGTTTTGATTATTCTTAACTGAAACCAGAATAATTCTGGTATTTGAGGTTAAAAGTATGATCCTGAACTTACTGATTATGTTTAGAGAAAGACTGAAAACTTGTGGCATATTTCGACCTGGCCAAAATTGAGAAAAGCTGAACTGTTGTGATACATCTTTTAAAATTCTTTGGAGTTCTGTGACTACATCAGTAATAGAGAAATAATTGCTTTAAAAGTGTGACCTTCTCATTTTCTTTCTTTTTTTTTGAGACAGTCTCGCTCTGTCGCCCAGGCTGTAGTGCAGTGGCGCAGTCTCGGCTCACTGCAAGCTCCGCCTCCCAGGTTCATGCCATTCTCCTGCCTCAGCCTCCCGAGTAGCTGGGACTACAGGCACCAGTCACTACACCCGGTTAATTTTTTGTATTTTTATTAGAGACGGGGTTTCACCATGTTAGCCAGGATGGTCTCGATCTCCTGACCTTGTGATCCGCCTCAGCCTCCCAAAGTGCTGGGCTTACAGGCATGAGCCACCACGCCCGGCCAACCCTCTCATTTTCTTAAATCAGCAGTACATCTAAAAGTCTTTTTTAACAATTGCACTTCTGAGTAAATTCAAACAATTCGACAGTTTTTATAATTTTCTCGGCATTTTATAATAGGTATTGATAACATACATCAATCCAGGTTGACTCTGTAAATTTGTGGGCAATATGGAACTTACTGTTAATTGCCAGCGAGGCCATTTGCATTTTCTCAGATAGAAAAAGGGTCGTAGAATGGCAGAATGGTAGCTGAAAACTCATAGTGCCAGCCTGAAAGAACAGCAAACTTATAATTTAAAGTCCTATTTTACATTTCTCTCATCTTTAACTTAAAACTTAAAATTAAATTAAAATCTTAATAAAACTCGATATGTTGATAAGAAGTTTAAATTTCCAGAAATGTTCAGGCTTTTTAAGTTGGGGGGTCAAGGATAATGGTGGCTATTCAGAGGAGAAATTCAAATATGTGTAATGCCCTTTTTTATGTAAACAGAAC